TGCCCTGTCTCCTGAGGCTCCTCCCCGTCTCCAGATGGCTGCTGTGGTTCCAGCCTTCCCGGCAGGGTTCAGGCAAAAAGGAGGAGGCAGAGAGCGCTGCGCCGCCTGGCTGGGTCAGCCTTCTGTTAGCATACTTCCCAGAAGCTTCACCGCAAGAGTTACTGCTTCTGCGTCACCTGCAGAAGTGGCTGAGAAAGGGAGTTGTGGGGATTGATCCCTTGTCACTGGCACCTCTCCCCTCGGGCTCACAAGGAGTCTTAAAGGAGGGGCGCCTGGGTGGCTCACTTCATGATCTCCTGGTTCGTGGGATTGAGCCCTGCATCAGGGTCTGTGCTGACAGGGTAGAGCCTGCCTGGGTTTCTCCCTCTCTTCCTCTCTCTGTCCCCCCTGCTCTCTCTCTCAAAATAAATAGACATTTAAAGAAAGAAATAAAGATGAAGTGTGTGTGTGGAGGGCGTGGGGAGTACCTAGAACAGTATATGGCTCACAGTAGGCATTTGGTAAGTGTGGTCTGTTACTACTGTTACGTTAAAGCTTTGCACGTCTGGCTGCCCAAAACCGGCATCGGGCAGTAGCGGTTGAAATAGGTCCTCCTTCGGTCAGGCTTGCCAGGAACTTCCAGGCCACGGGCTCCCTCATTGCCCACACCCCCCCCCCCCCCCCACCGCCTGCCTGAGTCATCTTGCCCAGAAGGTGGTACTCCCCAGCCCTGTGGAGAACAGAGTAAAAGAAAAAAGGATTCTGAGCGGCTCCCGAGAGATTAAGGTTAAATATAAAACAAGTATCTTCTGCCAGGCCTGTTCAAGCGCCTTACTGTGGCAAGTCATTCAGGCTTCGTTTCTGGAAGTCTTCGCAAGTGGAGAGAGAACCCTTTCTCTCGGATGATTAAGACAATTTGGCCTGAAGGCAGGGGATGGGCCACGTGACCTCTCAAGGTGGCTTTCTTCCCTCTGACTCCGCAGAGTACCTGCAAGTTCCTTTACTTTATGGTGAGGGCAAATTTAGAAGTACCCCACAGCAGAGAGTGTGGGGGGCGGAGGATCAGCCTTAAACGACAAGCTCTGTGTGCGTCTGATTCTGTGGCCAACCTACGTTAGCGGTTAAAGTCTTTGCGTCTGACAAAGTAATTGTTACATCTGAAATAAGACTTTGCAAACGTACTTACAACAGTAGGGTTAAGAATCAGGTCACGTTTACTGGTCACTGACGAAGGGGCAGGCTGGTGTTTTGTGCACATGAACTCGTGTCAGGATTACTCATCCATTCCCTCCCTCCCCTCGCAGACCCAGCCGCTGTCCCTTCCCCTTCCCGGGAAGCCGCAAGCCCGACGGCTCGGTGACTCCTTCGTTCAGTGTCTTTATTGAGCACCTCTTAGTTCTGAGACGCTCCTAGAAGCTGAAACACAAAAAGAGTAAGCCTCCTGCCTGAGGTTACACTGCTTCCGAAAGCAAGGACAGGATTCAAAATCCAGTGAACCTTTTTATCCAGACCCTGCGCTCCCGCCACGTGTGCCGAGTCCCTAAGTGATCTCGTGAGCTCAGGGTTTTCATACCTTTTATGTGGCCATGACCGGATTTATGTGCCCGGTGCGGCTCTGTCTCCTGACCTGCAGATATCCCTTCCCAGAGGCCTGTCAGAGCCGGCGTGCCCGGGGCTCACCTCCCGATGGCACCTGCCCCAACTCCGTCAGTGGCAGTGCTGGTTCTCCCTAACCCCGGGGAAACTGCCGGTAACTTTCCCTCTCCCTCGAGATCTAAAACAGAAACCGAAGGCTTCCCGTGGCCTCTCTGGCTCTGTGCGATCCGCCAGAGCCTCCTCCCCGACCGTTGCTCTCCCCACACTGCCCTTCCGGCCCCCAGATGTGCCAAGAGTGAGCCCACATCCCTCACGTGACCGTCCCCCTGCCTGGGACGTGTTCCCGCGGGTGGTGCCTGCACCTGCTTCGTGGCCTCACAGGACACCCTGGTAGCGGGGGTTCTCTGGGTAGGCTGTGAAATACCAGCTTGATTCCAGGCCTTTCTGCCTTCCTGCTCTTCTGATTCTCGCCGTGTTGATACACGAACTGTGTACGGCCTGTCCCTCCCACTATAATACAAGCTTTACGAAGGTCGTGAATTCGTTTTGTTTCTTTAAACCTTGACTCCACGACTGAATGAACGAACGCAGGCCCGGAATGCTTGGCTCACAGCAGTTGGTTCGGCAAATAGCTTCGCGTGGCAGAGCCGCGGGGCCCCCCCCCCCCCACCAAAGCCAGAAGCCGCCCGGCCCTCCCGCGGCGCCCCGCGCTTGTGCCCTCGCGGCGGCCAGGCCTCGCTTTGCACGAGGGAGGCTGGAACAGCGACAGGGTCTGCGCTAAGTGACTGGGTTAGGTGCATGTATCCTTCGTAGGGGACCCATCGAAATGTAAGCTATTAGTGATGTCACAGCGCAGCTCAGACTGTGGTAGCCTCTCTTCGACAAAACCAGATGACTGACGCATACTTAAAGGTAACCAGTTCACTATCAATTTATTCGTAAAAAAGAAAAAGTTCTGTTTTCTCATCTGTCATTTTAAAATCCTCTTTTGTCTCTGAAAACAATAGGAGACAAACTTTTCAGTTACAGTTCCTAAAATGTTTATGGTTTTGACCCATTTTTAAAATAGGATTCTTGGGGCGCCTGGGTGGCGCAGTCGGTTGAGCGTCCGACTTCAGCCAGGTCACGATCTCGCGGTCCGTGAGTTCGAGCCCCGCGTCGGGCTCTGGGCTGATGGCTCAGAGCCTGGAGCCTGTTTCCGATTCTGTGTCTCCCTCTCTCTCTGCCCCTCCCCCGTTCATGCTGTGTCTCTCTCTGTCCCAAAAATAAATAAATGTTGAAAATAAATAAATAAATAAATAAATAAATAAATAAATAAAATAGGATTCTACTGTAAACTGAAATTTCTGTTAACTCGTAATCATTTGAATAGAGAACACGAATAATTCCCCACGGTTTTTTAAACCCCTTTTTCCACTTACTCTTTTTACCAAATCTTATTTCTGAGCTTAAGAAACATGGCAAACGTATTGTATTTATTTTTTTTTTATCCTCAAGTTAGTTATCATGCAGTGTAGTCTTGGCTTCAGGAGTAGAACCAAGTGATTCATCACTTACGTGGAACATCCTGTGCTCATCCCGAGTGTCCTCCTTAATGCCCGTCACCCGTTTAGCCCATCCCCCGGCCCCCCTCCCCTGCAGCAACCCTCACTTTGTTCTCTGTATCTAAGAGTCTCTTATGGTTTGCCTCCCTCTGTGTTTTTATTTTATTTTTCCTTCCCTTCCCCTATGTTCCCCTGTTAAGTTTCTCAAATCCCACATATGAGTGAAATCATAGGATATTTTTCTTCCTCTGGCTAATTTCACTTGGCATAATACCTTCTAGTTAATGGCCAGATTTCACTTTTCATCACCGGGTAGTATTCCATTGTACCCGCGTGTGTATACATTGTACTCGCGTGTGTATACATTGTACTCGCGTGTATACACCGCCTCTTAAATCTGCCTTTGTTCTCCCTCCCTTATCACCCTTGCGATGGGTCCTCTCCTGAGCGATGGAACGTCTAACATCAGGTTAACAATATCAACTCCGAAAGGTCTGGAATTCCAAAAATCAGACCTTAAATTTTCGTGCTAAAAGAATTACTAGAACTTGCTCTCAGAGAAATAGGTTCCCTGGTTACACCGTAAATTCTATCTGGCCATTTAAGCTGAGCATCTAAATAGTCGAGTTATTGGCAAATGGATATAGTGTTTTTAATTCCTAAAGAGAACTCTTTATTTCAAACCTTTTTACTTCTGTTTTCTTGCATTCTGGGCACTAGAAAGTGACATGTACCGTGAGGAAATTGAAACCGTCCCCACGTTAGATCTGTGCCTGATGGATCTGGGGAGGTCTACGCATCTGTCCTGCTTACACGAAGTTTAAGTTTCCCCTGACTCTTTTCCCGATCTTGCCAGAAACGGCGGTTTTTGATCCTGGTACGTGTGAGACCTGGGGCCGGGCGGCTGTGACACGGAGCTCTGTCCGCAGGCTAGTTCTGTGAGTGAGCCCTTCTTCCTCCCCCGTCACCTGGTGGACCGAGAGACATTGTTCCAGATCAAAGAATCATTCTTCAGGCCAGTGTGTAGGAGTCACTGTGCTCTCACCCACTTCCTGCAGGCAGGTGACCTGTGCCCGGGCTTAAAGCCTTCGGTCTCAGAACTCCTCTGTCCTTTATTGTAAGGGCCACGAAGCCGTCTGGTGTGTGTGGCTTGTATCTGTCAACATTTACCGCACGTGGAATTAAAAACAGAAACTTTAAAAATAGGTATTAATCATGAAATACATGACAGTAGCCAACTCATTGCATGTTAACATAAAAAAAAAAATCTGTTTTTATGGAAAATCACTGCTTTCCAAAACAAAAGCAGTATTGTTTTATATTTTTGCAAATCTCTTTAATGTCCAGCTTCATGGGAGCTAGCTAGAGTCTTCTCTCTGCCTCTGTGTTCAGTCTGATGGGACATGTTGTTTGGGTTGAAGTAGTTGGAACCACAAATACGCAGTTGGAGAAGAAAAGAATTTTGACAGCTTTGCACCTAACTGTGGGTATTCTTTGATGACTCCACCGAAACTTGGCAAGTGGTAGTTTCTGAAAGGTTAGCTGCAGCGTGGATTCTGAAACCACATCAGTAAACTTGTCATACTCTGTCTCACTGAAACGCCTTGGTCCGTCTTCCATTTGGTGGGTTTGGAAACATCGGACCTGGGTCACACGAAAAACACTGGTTCGCTGGGACGTGCGTGTTCTCACGGTCCTGTGACGCATTTCCCTGGGCAGTATGAAAGAGCCATATCTGTTGCCACCACCACCGGTCTCAACAGAGAGGTCCGTAGAAGTACTGCCTTATTATCCGTTTACAGTGGTCAGTACTAACTTTCCAAAATTGCAGCGCATCCCTGAAAGCTTGAATTGAGTCATCGGTAACAAATACTGTCAGTTTTTCCTGAAGAGACAGGCTCACTTCGTTCTTCTCTGAGAACGTGTCTGCCACATACGTGCGTCGGAGTAACCATAGTCTGTCTGCACTTGATTCTTTCAAGTGGAAAGCTGTGCCACGAGAAAGCCCGAGGTCACCCCCACGCCCCAGCCAGCCACCGACCTCCCGTAAGCACCCTTCTGTTTCATCATGCAGAATAATAGTCGAGATCTATTAAAATTAGTAATCCGTACTGCTTCATCAAGGACATGTTTAAACGAACATACTTTTTAAAAAAAATGTTTTTTAAGTTTATGTATTTATCTTGAGAGAGAGCCCCAGCAGGGGAGAGGCAGAGAGAAGGAGAGACAGAATCCCAAGCAGACTCTGCGCCACCAGCGCAGAGCCCGATGTGGGGCTCAGACCCGTGATTGACGGCAGGGGCTCTTAGGAGTGTCCAGGCCACATTTGGAACACCACCGCTCTAGGCCGGTTTGCACACACAGGATGCATATACTAGGGCTCTGGGAGAGCGAGGGGCGAGAGCCGCCCCCAGCGGCAAGCGTAGGAAGCTAATTATCCAGGGCCCTTTAACCCTCATGCAGCCCTTTGGTCCACTGAATTGTCCTCACGCCGTCAGCTCCCTGAGGGCAGAAGTGTGTTCCCTGCGTGCCCATCACACGTGGGGTGCTGTGAAGCCAGGGGTGGCCTACGAAGAGGGGCTGGCCCTGGCCTCCCTCCCACATCAAAGCCGCCTCATCCAGATTTGCGATGCTCAGGGGAAGAGGGACAAAGGATTAACAGCCTTGCGTTTAGATCTGAACACGCTTTGCAAAACCCGGAAGACAGGAATGAAGTGCCCTTACCCCCATCTCTCCCGTCTTGGAGGAAGCTAGCTCCGTTTGGGGAGCAGCCCGCAGGAGGGGCGGTCGTGACCAAGGGGGAGGCCCGGATGTAGCAAACCAATGGGCCGACGACCAGACCTTGGCTGCCTTTCTGCCATCCGACCGGTGCGGCCCAGTGCGGAGACTTATTTATTCGGCACCTTCCTGAGGAAATGTTCTGAAATCTTATTAAAGAACTATTAGAGAAGTAAGGCTCTTACTGAAAGCAGATTGGAAATTTTTTAGCCAATTACCCTGAAGGAATTTCAAGTCTTTCAGTTATCCGTGATATTGGGAAAACAAGAGTAGTCCCACAGTTTCATCTTAGATGTTACTTTTCACTTACTCTGCTTTATCTGTAAAAATTCTTAACGGTTGCGGAAGGATTGCAAGCTCCCAAGTAGAGCGAAAACACTAGCCCAGGCCAGCCGGTCCGGAGCTACTGTCTGGACCACGTGTGCTCAGTCCGGTAGTTCTTCCTGCCAGATGATAAGCATTTCGTAAACGTTTGCTAGAATTTTAATTTTTGCCAAAAGGATTATAGATAAAATTTTATCTTAAAAGAACAGGCCACCATAATCCAGAACAACATCAGCCCTTTCACGTTACATTCAAACAACACAGAACTTACTAATTAAACTTTGGAAGCGATTCACTGAAGATGATTCTGGGATGAATTCCACATTCACCTCCCACCCCAGAAAATTGCTACAACTGCTGCAACACAACGTCCGTATTACAGACTCTCGCGTGAGTCGTGGACGGTCTTCAGCCCTCGTGTTCATATCAGTCTTCCTCTTACCTGTCTGATCTGGGAGGGATCAGCACTGTGGGGAGCAGTTGAGTTAGGCATGGCTCCCATCCTTTGACCTCATTTTTCTCACCTATAAAACTAAATAATATGTCTGCTTCAGACAGGGCCTGGAGGATTAAGGGATAATCAATAATGCATTATAAACCAAAAAGGATTTAAAACGAGACAGGAAGATTGAATCAAGAGGATGGACTAAGAACACATACCTGCTCCACCGTCGCCCCCCCCCCGCCCCGCCCCGCCCCCGTTCAGAATCCCCTGAAGTGACAGAAGCAAGTTTTGAAAGATTGTGGAAGGGAGAGCAGATGGAACGAGAGCCTTGAGGAAACCAAATGAAACACCCCCGCCCCCCCCCCCCCCCGCCCCCCCCCCCCCGCCATGGAAGAGAAGGGTGCTGTAATGGTGGGGAGGTTTAGGAAGACGTAAAACCATGTCAGTGGCTGTAAACAGGGGCACCAAGGGACTTGATCAAAGACTGCATTTGGAACAGCCAGGCTGGTCTGGCCCTGCTTTCTAACCAGGGATGCTCAGCAGTGCGGTCGTGGTGTTCATTCCCAGGTTACAGCGGGAGCCATGCAAAGCCAGACCTCAGACGGGACCACCCTTTAGGGCAACCAGGAGGCCCAGGGACGGGAAACAAATCACTTGCGTATCCCACCCAGTAGCGTACTCTGTCCGTTTTCCGCAACCACCAGAAGAAAGCTATTTTGAACGAGAGGTAGTGTCCGCTGACAGGCAAACTGAGAATCTCAAATCAGAAAATGAACACCTGTCTATCCAGCATATACTAAGCATTTAAAAAACAGACTCAACAAACTGACAAACCCACACTTTGACAGAACAGAGCCCAAAGAATAGAAGATGGTTGTAAAGCAAGTAATTAAATCTTCATATGGAGACGAATACTGGGAATCCACAAAGGCCAAACCAGTTAGGGAGGCAGGAATTTAAAAATTGAGTATCAGCAAAGGATAAAGAGCAAGCAAGTAGGGGAGAAAAAGGGAGACGGGAGGTGGGACCCAGAGCTTCAAAACTGGGGTCACCGGAGTGGGAAAGCTAGAAGGATGAAGGCCAAAGAGAATTTTGTAAAAGAGAAAATTCAGAAGTTGAAGAAAGACACAAGTTATTACTTACGTGGGAGGGCATGTTAGGTGCCAGGAGAGACGTGAGTGTGACATGAGATGAGGGAGAGAAGCAGAGTCATGATTTAAGAGACTTCCACCACGTTCCTGTTGGAAGGATCTCCTCCGCACTCCGAGCAACAGCTCGAGTAGGATAAACATCCGCTGTGGCATCAGACAGACCTGACTTAGGGCTTTGGTCCTCGCTTGTTCTTGTTCATCCCTGGATAGTTGAGTTAACTTCTCAGACCTCCAATTTTATTGTATCTAAAGGAGATACAATAATATCCACTTCGTCGGTTTGTCATGAGGTTAAATGCAAAAGAATATACATATGCGCACACGCATACATGCACACACACACGTGCACATTGTCGGTGCCCTGTGTGTACCGGGTGAACTAGTAGAGTTAACTCCCCTTTTTGGAGAGTTCGTGAACCGCTTTGTGGTCTGACCCCCACTCACCTGTCGCTTCTTTCCTCCTCATTCAGTCCCTCAGCCAGTCATGTGTTACCTTCGTACCTTCCTCTCACCCCCCAACAGACTGAGACTCTGACCCCAAGGTATCTTGGACACGCTTCTGTGTTCATGCACACTTACACCCTACTCTGTGGAAACACATGCTCATCTTTGTTAGTTTCTTGAGAGCAGAGATCACACCTTACTTATTTCTGGATCTCCATTTTTCAGAATGGTGTCTTTCACATAGGAAGTGCTCAAAAGTATACAGCCACACTTGGGCTTAGTGTTTCCTTTTAATTTTATTTGTCAAGTTTGTTCAACAGCCAGAAAATATTAAGTGCCTTTGAATCGTTCCGTCTTGCACCTTGAGAAGTGGGGTAAGAGGAGTGACCTCTTGTTCATCTTTATCCAGTAATAACACTTGGTCTTTCTTGTATTGTCTTGGCCATAATTTTTCAACGATTTGCTTATAATTCAGTCAGCACAATTAACAAACTTTACTGAGTTCCTACCTTGTACTAGGTGTTGTTCTCAGGGAGCTTGAGGTATGTATGCCATTGAATAAACCAGCCCCAAGTCCCTCTCTTGTAGAGCTCACAGTCCCATTCTACCAAAAGGACATAGACAGTAAAAATAATAAGTAAGTATATAGTATGTTAGAAAGTGGCAAGTGCTGTAGAAAAAAGTAGAGCAGAGTGATACGGATGAGGGTTGCCAGACAGGGAGATTGCAATCGTGATCTGAACGGACCGTGTTGAGATAGTGTCATTTGAGCAGAGACTTGAGGAAGGTGAAGTTAGCCATGCAGATGTCCAGAGGTAAGAGCATTCTAGGCAAAGGGAATAGCCACGAAAAGAATGACTCCACAAACTTTTTTTGACCTGAGCAAACGAGAAACTCTGCTGTCAGCTGAAATCTAGGAAGCTTGGCTGGAGCAGATTTAGGGATAAGATGAGAGGTCCAGTGGAGTCTGGGCCTTGTTAAATTTGAGATGTCTGTTAGACATTGAAGTTGAGGTGTCGAGTAGGCAGTTAACACTTGAACGTGAACTTTAAGAGAGGTTCTTAGATCGGGGCTAGTTTTTGCTATACAAAAACAAAAGCAAGAGACTGGACAAAATCACAAGGGAGTTTAGGTCAATAAAGAAGACGAGGACCAAGGTCTGAAGTCTGGAACTCTCCAGCTTTAAGAGGTCTGAGGAAAAGGAGGAACCGACAGGTCATCTGGTGAGGTCTAGCCGGTCACACAGGAAGGAGACCAGGAAATGCAGCAGCCTGAAAACCAAGGAAAGAAAGGATGTCAAGGAAGAGGTCCCTTGTAACAGATGGTGAGCAGTCATTTAAGCGCAAGGACTGAGAATTGAGTATTGACTTCAGCCACTTGCGGTTGGGTGGTTCCCTTGATGAAAGGTTTAAGGGGTGTCGGGGGGGGGAGGATGGTTTCAATGGATGTGAAAGGATGATGTACTGGAGGGACGGGGTGAAGCGGGAAAGAGGACGTCATAGAGTGGGAACAGGACACTGACCGAGGTGGGGAAGGTTTCTGTTATTGGTAATGGCAAGTCTAGGACGTGACTCCTTTAATGGCTAAAAGAGCCTAGAGCAAGATGGATGGACAAGAGTCGTCCAGGGAATTGAGAGACCAGCTTGTTGGAAGGCTCTTCTGTCCATCTGCTGAAATCCCCACGACTTAGGACAGTGATGCTATTGGGAGATTCCGAATTGGGTGTGGGTATGGAGGAATGGAGCGCGATGGTACTGGGAGAGGGAAGATGCACCCCCCCCTTCCTCTGGGCCCAACGGTACATGAGCTGTGGGAGATAAAAACTGGAGAAGGCTGCCCGGAAACAACCCAGGAAATAACTGTCAGCGGAGGAGAATCAAGTTTCCAGTGAGGAAGGAGTGTTCCAAGAGGAGGCTGAGACTATCTAGGCAGCTTTGCCAGTGGTGGGCTGTGAATTCCAGGGGGCCCTGGGGAAGAATTTCAGAGTGGAGTCGGTGCTGAGGGTGGACAGCAGCAGGCGGGCAGGACTTCAGGAGTCCTGGGGATAAGAGCATCCTAGTGGTCAAGAGCTTCCCGAGCTGACGTAAAAACCAGCAAGAGGCCTGATGAAGTTGGTTTCAGAGACTTTAAAGTAGAAATTGGTGGAGAGTCTTGAAGAGGTTAAAAGGACAGGGGACAGATCAATGTCAGGATCGCCCTCTTGATCCCACAGAGACAGGGTGATCTGGGGACAGAGGTTCTGTCCTCCTCTTGGACCCCTGTCCGTGGAGAATAGAAGGTCTCAGGAGTGGTAGACTTGGTCCCAGTACTACAGTTTGCTCCTTGACCCCCGTGTTCTCTCCCAGTGTGTGTGTTGGCAGGGGGTTGGGGGGGGGGGGGCGTTCTATAGGCGGTGTTTGGTAAAACCGAGAACCTCTGGGCAAGCGAGGAATTCTGCTGCATACCTACACTTCCCTCTACCACTGAGACGGGGTAGAACAGCGGGGAATAAAGGGCCTGGGCAGACGTGGCCATAGGACGAGCAAGGGAAGCCCACTCTTGACCTGTTCAGGGAGCAGCTTCCCTGGATCCCTTTTGATGGGAGTTGATGCGTATTTGGCCTACTCTATTTTCTTACCTACTATTAATGTTATTGTATGCGTCAATGAAGAGATTTTTAGTGTCTCTTCCCTTTTGCCTTATGTTGGGTTTTTAGTTCATCCTTGGGAATTAGGACACATCTCTGGCTAATAGACATTTGAGGTGCACGAGATAAAGCGCTGGCAGAGCAATTCGGTGGAGCTGACAGGTGTAAGAGTGGGGCTCAGCTGCTCCCAGCTTCCTGGCTTGACGACAGTCTTGTTGTAATAAATAATCAGAAACTGGGCAAAATGATAGCAGATGTCAGTTTCAAGTTTTCACCTGTCAAAACTGAGATTGTCTTATCACCAAACCATTGCTGGACCAAATTATGCCACCTCTTATCCTCCTGTTCATGGGAAACATTCTTCACCCCCATTTTTTTTTTTTTTTTTTTTTTTTATGCTGAATGGTGTTAGGGCACTTCACAGACAAATTTCCAGTCTGCACTGATGTTCATTACTGCTCAGTCCATTTGATAAAGACTTGGTTTGGTCAAAAAGCTCTTGCTCGACTCCTATGTTGATTAGCTTCAGTGCCTGTCACCGACAGCATCGCATTAAACAGTGGAGGCCTGTCTCAGGAAAGGAAATTCTTGCAGTTCTATGAAGACGTAATTCACTTTGTGCGACTGATAAAATTCTCAAGAACATCAGGGTTTTATTTGTCTAAGGAGCCATTCTGCTGTAACTTCTGACCTTTGGAAAGAGGACCGAGGTTCATTTAATTTAGTGCTGTTTTCCACGAAACATTAGCCAATTTTTTTTTTTTTTCCCCAACAAAATGAGAAGTTATTTTGACTACTTTGTGGCCGACTGCAGTGCATGAGCCATCAAGAATGTCACAGCTGCCCAGGGTCTGCACAGGACCTACGCCAGGCCCGTGGCTTGATGGACGGGGGTGCTGAGACAGTGAGCAGGATGTCCCCCCACCCCGGGAGCCCGGCAGGTGGACGCCCAGGTTCACACGCAGATGTTTGACCCATCGTTGACACTGACATTTCAACAGGGCGTTCCTTTCTGAATTTCTGTCCTCAAGATGAAAAAGAGCATTCTACTTAAGCAATTCTCCTATTTAAAGCTGTAAAACCTTAAGAGGGAGGAAAGCAATATTGTCTCTTTCATTCTTGTTTCTGCTGGATTTTTTTTTTTTTAATGTGAATGTGTCTTTGATGTTTTTTTAGCCAGTCCCTCTTGTTTCCCTCTCGCCATAGATCTGTGTGCTGCCCTGAAGGAAGATTGCAACTGTTGAAAGGGAGGGAGGGAATTTGAGACCAGACAGACAAGTAAAGCAGTTGTAATTCATCACGATCACACGGCAGTGTTTCACGTGGACCCTGACTTACATTTCCGGGTGCGAGGAGGGGTCATGGAAACCCCAGACGGGCAAGTGAGACGTTCGGGGAGGGAGCGGGGCAGGTCTGGGTAAACCGCACAGCCCGCCCCCCACCCCTGGCATAGGTCTTCAGCACGTGGTGACGTTGGCACCTGAGCTTCGAGTGTAGGTGCTGTCCCTTCTGAGCTGTGTGACCTGGTGGCTCAGCGTCACTGTGCCTCAGCTGCTTCATGTTCAAGGATGGCGACTCTGTGGAGGTTCAGTGAGATCATGTCTGCAGAGAGGCAGTCAGTGCAGCCCGGGTCTCACTCATCAGAGGCCCTTCCTCCCACGCTCCCTTCCTTTCTCCCACGCCCTCACGGAGTGCCAGTTCTCCATCTGAAGACGTTTTTTTAAAACTCTGTAGCCGCACGCAATTCCTCAGAAAAATTACACATTGCCACTTGGTATATAATAGGTCAGCTGTAAGAGCGACTGCCCTGTTCCTGGGCAATGCTTGAAAAAACCATGGGGCTTAACACAGAACATTCCAGAGAGCGTACATTCCATCTCCATGCCAGCAGGCTCCCGTCATCACCAGTATGGGACACTGTTTAATTGGCTAGTGAGGATGTGAGTAAGCCAGGAGAACAAGATCTGACCTATATTTTGCACATGGAGGAGGCATTTGATACGGAGGAATATTCTAGGCTCGGCATTTGGTCAGTGCTTCTTGACCCTGATGGAAGTACTTGTAGACTCCAATTCTGAAGCCTGTTTCTTGCATCCGTGCCTCGTGTGGGCCGTTCCCCCGCCTGCAAGGCCCTTGCCGCCATCTCCTCTCTGTTCCCTCTCCCTACCCCTTGGCTTCCGCCCTCGGGTGCTCAGAGCTGCTTGAGCATTAACGTTGTCCGGGTAGCCACCACAACGCAGCCAATGGTGCGCCACCATTGGCGCACCTCCTCCGTGGACTCCGTCCGTGTAGAGTGGGGCTGTGCTAGGGGGCGGGGGTGGGGGAAAAGCAAGGACAGGGCTGCTCTGGGGAGCCACGCCGACTCTGGGAGATTGGGAAAGTTCCCCAAGGAAGTAACGTTGTGGCTACAGACTGAGTAGCAGGTAGCTTGGAAGGAGAGGAAAGAAGAACATTTCTAGCAGAAGGCGGAGCAGAGGTGAAGGCCCTTGCCCACGCACTTGAGGCAAAAAGGGACGCCCCCCCCCCCCCCGTGCTTACCCCTTCCTCCTAGGATCGCCGTGCTGTGCTGCGGCCGTCGGAGCCGATGAGTCTCTGGTAGTGCTCACCTGACAGTGAAGCGTGGGGAGGAAAGCCAGGTGTGGGTTTGACCAACGAGCGTGTCACCTGTCTGTTCTCTGTGAGACTTGAGGCCGGCGCCCTGGCTTTCAGATCTGCAGCATCCTTAGCTATAAAATGGGTATGACACTCATACTCACCTCGGGGGCTGCCGTGAGGACTCCACGGGATCTCGGCAGCTGGCATTCGGCAACACTCACAGCGTGGAGTTTATTATTCATCTTGCAACTTCTTAAGGTGTTAAGCAGCTGAGCTGATCATTTTCCATTTTGATTAGAACTTCTTACTTGATTGCATGGGGTTGGAATAATGAGAATGTTTATTTCCATGACAATCCAGGATAACAAATTCAGGACGATTGTTTCCCTACAAAATTAAGTAGAGTGGGAAAGCGGACAGCCTGAGAGGGTGAGTGGGAGCTCCCCCTTGGATCCTCAAAATAGCGTCATAAAACTGCTTATATCTGCCGTGGGTTAGTAATCTAGATTTTTCCATAGGTCTGTTCCTATAAAAAATTACGCCTGATTGAAATATGTTGTGTACGTGTAGCCTCCTTTGCATCGTCTGCAGCAGAATGGCCCTGGTGACGGGCTCCCTCCGACCCCCCGCTTTCTCAAGGACACTGTACGTGAGAACACAGACGCGCCTGTGCTTTGAAAAGATGCTCGGCCTCATCCTCACCCGCGTGGTGAGGCTGCCGTCACCGGACGGCAGGGAACCCTCCTGCTCTCCGGTCACGACACGGTCATCGTGCCGGCCTCCTGACCGGTAGCCACTTCCTGACCGTGACGGCATAGTCCTGGGGAAACAAAACGCGGAGTCTCAGGCCTTGCTGTAGAGCCCTCAGGTCACACAGCATCGGGCTTTCCGGGAGGTTGGAGCTAGAGAGGAAGGAAGGTCCTTGCCTTCTGGTGGACAGAACCCGTGGTTTTCCTCCCTCTGCACCCGCGAGGCGCCTGGCACGGGGCAGCTGCACTTGTCCGCGACCCGCCCGCGGTCTCTGCAGACTCTTCCTCCAGGACGGTCTTGGTATCCGTCACGCGCAAGAGGCGCTCACCCCGTGCTCATCCGGCCACTTGCTGTGGCTCAGGTGTCAAACACAGTCATGAGGCATTAAAGTTGGAACCCTTTGGTAACTGTTTTAGAATACTTCGCTGAATGTGATTCAGACTCACAGCCAAGTCATTTTCTCCTGCGTTTTCATCTTTATTTACGTTTTTATTTCTTGCGTGTTTTGTTCATTGCAGTGGTGCTGATTACTATGATTACGGACATGGACTCAGTGAAGAGACGTACGATTCCTACGGTGAGTACCTGGCCAGAGTGAACCGGAAGCAGAGCGGGGGGATGGTCCCAGAAACACCTTCAAGATCTTAACGGGGGAGAACGTACCTCCTAAAGACGTTTTGTCCGAAACAGCAGCTTCCTCTCCGTTCGTCTGTACATATCTAGCTATTTTCAGAAGCTCCTTTAAGATTTAAATTTAATATTTAAAGAGGACCAGATACTCATAGAAAAGTGCATAGATTCACATCCTCAACTTAGATTTTCTGTTTGGGTTGATTGCCGTGTGCTGATTTTCTCAATTATGGAATCGCTTGCCAAACCGCAGACACTTGAAAGCGTGGCGCTTTCTGAAGTGTCTTCGCTTCTTGACAGTAAAGGGAAATGAAGTCATTGAGTCTGCAGCTATAAAACGATTCTCCCACCCCCATCTTCATATTTTAATTCCTCTCCGATCGCAAATGCTCTGAAAACATCGCTGTGGGAGTCCTTCCATAAAGGTTACCAAAGCACTGAGCCAGGGACAGGACGTCAGGCCCTCTCTCCAGCTTGCGGGGAGACAGCTAAACCCATCTGAGTTCAGTGGGAGCTGGTAGAGATGCAGGAGAATCCGCGTCCGAAGTCTCAGTGTGCAGAAGGAGGACAGGTTTAATTAAAAGAATTGGCGGCAGCAACATAATGATAGTAAGAAGCTCCTTTGCCGGAGGGCAAAGAGATCAGAGAACAGGAGGCTTCAATCAGTTGCAAAGCTCTGATAAAATGCCTGGTACCCAGCGCAAGTGAATCAGGATTCTGGTTAATGGATGTTCTGACATTTCTCTGAACATAACTGAAAAACCATTTTCCGGTGTTCCTTTTGAAGTGCGTTTTGTTAGATCACCTGCCCCCAAGCTGTGATGACCTCACCTTGGATTTTTTTTTTTTTTTTTTTGTTATTTGTAACAAACACTTAAGAGAAATACCTTGGTTTGCTGGATGCGGTCCGCTTAAATTGATGCAAGTTAGCTTGAGGGAGTGACGTTGATTGCATGTTTGTATCAAAAGAAGAGGTCATTTTAAGTGTTTTTCCTTCACAGCCTTTTTAAATTGGTCTCAGTGGACACATGGCTTTTCACTTGCTGTACGTTGCTACAGAGACGTTAACCATTTGCTGGCAGAGACTTGTGACGACGGGGTGACAGTGCTGGGGTTGAACAGGTGTTTAGTTTCAGGAGGTCTAGATCACGGATGCCTCTCGTTACTCCAGACCCGTGTCTGGGATGGAGGTACTGGTATGATGCCTGACAACGAACATTCCGTCACTAGGTGTATTTCGTATCCGGGAAGAATTGTCGGGGCGTTCGCATTCCACCCAACACAGCTGTGCCTCACCGAAGTCTCCGTGGAAGGGCCCGGGAGACATGGCGTCGGCGATTCTCTTTCCCTCCCCATCCCCGCGTTGCTCTTTGTGTTTGTCTCCTTTTGCCCGCACACATTTTTATCTGCGTTTTCTATGTTTTTGCTGTGAAAAGAAATCTGAGTGGGGGCCCCTGGGTGGCTCGGTACGTTGAGCATCCGACTCGGCTCAGGTCACGATCTCACGGTTCGTGGGTCGGAGCCCCGCGTCGGGCCCTGTGCTGACGGGACGGCTCGGCTCGGAGCCCCCGGAGCCCGCTTCGGGTTCTGTGTCTCCCTCTCTCTCTGCCCCTCCCCCGCTCGCACTCTGCCTCTCAGTCTCAAAAGTAAACCCTAAAAAGAAAGAAAGAAAGAAAGAAAGAAGTTTAAGTGATCCTCTTCCCATTGTCTTTCCCATTCAGAAGCATCTTGATGTTTAGCAAAAGGCAGTTCCCTTTGCCGGTTGAGCTTGTGAGCTTTGGCTAAATGAGTGGCCCAAAGGCAAGTTCTTGCGAAGTCGGTTGCCATTGAAGACACAAAACTCATTTTTCTTCCCATGCTGTTAGGTTTTGTTAAGGGGACAACCATTTTCCATTGTGTCTGTGATTTTTTGTTTTTTAAGTAAATACCGTTGGTTTTTTTCCTAGTGCATCAGGGATATATATGTCTTCAATATGACAGCTACCGTTGGTTCAAGGGTTAAGTTAGATTCTGAAAAATGAAGCCAGCGGGATCCATGGCAGTGATCTAATTGTGATTCGTCTTGCTGATTTTAGGGCAAGAGGACTGGACTAACTCAAGACACAAGGCACCTTCAGCGAGGACAGCAAAGGGCGTCTACAGAGACCAGCCATATGGCAGATACTGATTGTACTGTCTGATGTTGTGAAATAGCCAATCTCCACCAGTCCTGTATACTGTTCAAAGTAATTTTTTTCTATGAACAATCCCTTTTTAAATAAATCAAAATGCTTAAAATCTGAATGGATGGAACTTTAAAACTACTTTGTTGAAACATCAACCTGGGCAGAAAAAAGGAAAAAAAAAAAAAAGACATGTAAAATTTTGTTATTTCCAGTCTGTATATGAAAAAAATAGGTCATCAAAAGGAAAAAAAATAACTTTGATTAACTAGTGTTAAACAAAAAAATAGGTTTACTAAATATGTTAATCCATCCTTTTAACATAAGCCTCACCTTTCATTTTAAAGGTTTCCATAGAAATTTAGTTATTTTATCTTTCAGCCATATGCTAGTTTTTTTTTTCTCTTGCCAACATGCGTAAAAAGGGAAGCCAATTACAAGTGCAAATAATGTGGTATTCTTTTGTAACTCAAGTCTTGAAATGTTCTGTAGTGTTAAGCAAAGTCTCCTCTTGCTTGATACTAAATAAACTTTTGAAAGAAATTTCGTGTGTGTGAGCTAACAATTTCATGTTTTGCTTATTTAAAAAGGCCTTCATAAATAGTTGTAAACAGGGAAAGAGTTCATTTAACAACGCTTGTCATAAAAGGGTTCACACTAAACATTGTACAACTTACTTAAAAAATGGTATAAAATTAAATGTACCATTCTCTACTCACCGTAGATTTAAATGCTGTTTTAAAGAGTCCAAATGGTTATCAAGCTGCGTGAGTGACACGTTAAACCTACGCACAACCAAATCTTGTTTAAAAACTGGTTTTAAAAGAACTATACTGATTTTCTGAAAAACATGTGATCAGTTTTCATCTTGTTGAGCGTTTTTTCACTAGTGCAACTTTGGATTTTTTATGAGAATTTTGGTACCTTAATGAACACCTCGCTCCATGCTGGAAGCAATAAGCACAAAGCTTTTAAAGACACTCTGACTTGACTAATTGAGTCGCACTCGCCAAGGCTGAGGATGTGTAACCCTTAAACGGTCTTCATTGTCAAAGGTAAATAAATCAAATAAGATTTTAATCTCACTTAATTTATCTTAATATAACTAATAAAACCAGGGAGATTACAACTTAGCAAGTTTCATTATCCATTTTAGAGAGGTTTTAAGATCACCTAAATTCTCATTTTAAAAAGTTTAATTTGTTTTAGTAATCTAAAAAGCCTTAGTTCAGTCAGTTTAATTGGGGCCAATTATTCCCTATTAAACAAATGTAAAACCTCATAACTAGTGGTTTGTAATACGTTATTTGGTTAGTAATTGAGGGCACTTCTTAAAACTGACAAATATTTAATAAAGTTATTCTTTTAATCGTTTGGGTTAAGTTTTTTTTTTAATTGTAGATGATATAAAATGTTTAATTTTTATTTCTTAAGAGATTTCCTTCTCTTTGAGTAAAAAGGCCTTTTTTGTTTGTTTGTTTGTTAGGAAATGTCAGCCATCTTGGGAAGTCAAAGGAACTGGTTGTGCCCGGGGAGCAAACAAAGGTACGTGCCTTTTGTTCCAATTCTTTTGATGTGTTGCGGAAGATGAAGACAATTTCATGCTTATCTAAAGTCACATGGAAAATATCCCATGCTGGTTCCTATTACCAGCACTGGTGGTTACCACGAATTAACCCCTCCCGTCAGCAAAGAAGCTTCCTGAACGTGAACAAGTCAGACCCAGTCAGCTTTGGTTGTGATGCACAAGGCAGAGACACCGGTCGTCCCACTATTTATTAATATTTGCATTACTCTCTTCGGTAAAAAAAAAATACGTTTAGTCAACCATATGAAAAAATTTCCAAACTATTAAGGAAAAGAAAGCAGTTTATCAAGCCTAACGTATAATATGATCCCAGTGTTATTTTCTAAAAACGGACCGTGTGGCAGGACACCTGGGTGGGTCAGTCGGTTAAGCGTCCGACTCTTGTTGTCAGCTCAGGTCTTGATCTCAAGGTTGTGAGTTCAAGCCCTGCATTGGGCTCCATGCTGGGTGTCGAGCCTGATTTGAAGGAAAAAAACAAAAAAACAAAAAAACAACTGTGTTCTCTCTATATATTTACAGGCAAAAAATTACACTGATAGGCTGCAGATTTTTGACAATACGTATCCTAGGGCTTCTGAAAGTATGATTCTGTGTGTGTGATTTTCCTTTCTGATGTTGCAAAACAAACTATTTTATAAATAAGTACTATAAAGTGTGTTTTATGAAATTGCATAATTCTTTTAAAAATGTAGGGATCTGTGAGGGAAACGTATCATTAGTTTTGGTCTCACCATATTCTCGTGTTTTTCTGAACCATCAGAAACACTGCTACTTAAGCTCTTATATTCCCAGAGAGTCTTAGGTTTTAAAAGTATTTGTATCTGAGCTCTGCCCCTTCCTGTGTACCTTGGGACAGCAGCTCAGTGAGAGTGACGCTTATCTCCTATAGTTGTTACTAAGAATTAAGTGAGTGAATGTTAAAGGGTGTTTTGTAACCTGGAAAGTCATACAGTAACGTGAAGTGTAATTGTGAATTGTGTAATATTTAATCAGTATTGGAAATAGCTGAGCCTTTTTCCCCTCCACTGGCCAAAATTAGCCTGAAATCAAATTACTGTTAGGAAGAGGATAGTTCTTTTTAGTCTCAAGGACCAAAATAAAGTTTTGGGGTTTGGGTTTCTGAGGGGTGGGGAGAGTCTTTTCTTGCACAAAAATGTGACACAGAACACATTTTTTTTTTCAATGTATAGTGTTACACTACCAATGTATATGGTTGTCACTACTTTCCTTCCATATTAAGTAATTTTGGAGGGGGGATTAGCACACTGAATAATAAATGTAGGTTTATTAAGTGAGGGATTAAAGATCGGTCCCCAGAAGGTAAACCCCCAGGCTTACCCCCTCTTCACAGCCAAGTCTTAGGAATTATTGTTCAATTTTATGTTTATTTTCATTTTTTTAAAGAACCCATAGCTCCCCTGGCCTGTAAAAAGGGATTGTGAGCCAGAAAGATCTGGAACCACCAGGAATGCTATCAGACAAGAAGCCTCCTGCTTGGCCTCAAGGGCTTCCTGTACTTGGCACGTACCTGCCAAGCCTTCTCTCTCCCTGTTCCTCTGAAGTAATTTGGAGGGCGATGGAAGGGGTGGACTATAACCATACGTGCTGGCCCCCGCTCCTTCGCCCACGGAAAACCAGGCCCGTTCTCCAGGACGTGGCCTGGTGCCCTCCCTTCTGTGGCCACCATCCCTCGGCCCTCTCTGGATTCGGTTGGTACTTCTTCGTTTCAGCGTTGATGTCACAGGACTTAGATTGGCTACAAGTTGCTGTTGCGACCACACACGAGCTTATCACTCTCAGTAAGTGATTTCACTGAATCCTTAAAGCTTTAAGAAGGTGAGTGTCATCCCCTTTTTACAAAGGAAGACACTTAAGCTTCTAGAGGTGAAATCACTCACATCAACTCACACACCCTGCAACGCGTAGAGCCAACGTTGAACCGTCGCGTCCTGTCCAGAGTCTGTGTTGTTGGTGGCCATCACACTGTCGCTCCTCTGGACGAGCACTGACTCCCCCGTTGGACTAAAGGCTGTTTCAGAGCAAGGGCTACTCTTTATGTTACCTTGTATCCCTGGAAGTGACTCCCACAACCCTGAGCATTAGTTCGATGTGATTGAGAAGTACTCCCCGCTCTGGCTCTCTTCCACCTCTGCCCCAGATTCCCTCCTGGAAAATTTCCTTGACTGCGTTTAGGCTCTGAATCTTCTTATATTCAGGAGATGCCTTGTTGATCCGCTATCAGTATTCATTCAGGTCCACTGACCCAACCTCTGCTGTGCTGCAGACACTGTGCTGTGGGACGTCGTCCCGTCCCCGAAGACGCAACAGCCTGCGGGGGAGGTGGTCGAGGAGGGTGTCGGTGGGACAGAGGCAGGCGCGTGGAAGAGAGACGCTCCTGTTAGGTGGGTGGGTGGAGGTGGGGCGGGCGCCAGCAGGGGAATTGGCACCAGGAGCAGAGACCCTGACCGCATGGGGGAAGGTGTTCTTGGAAGCACTCCGGCCCCAGCTCCGTCATCTACCGGCTTTATGACCTTGGTTAGGTTAACAAACCTCTCTCGATTGCAGCTGCAATGGCAGTTTCCCCACCCATAAAACGGCACAGTGATGAGACCCCCACCTCAGTGTCGCTGTATAAGGACAAGAAACGTGCGCGGCACTAACATAAGTGTTTGCTCTTGCTTGTTGCCTTATGTAAGTACTTGGAGCTATGAAAAAGCACGATTATCTAGGAAATCCGTTATGTTGGGCAATCAGAGAAAGCAGCAGGCGATGCCGTCTGGGTAGGCACGAGACGCGAGGTGAAGGGCCTTGCGGTTCCTGCTAAGAAGCTTAGACGCGCTGACCCCATTTTCAGTAATAATCTCCTCCTCATCTCCAAACTTGCCCTACTCCGGCCCCCGAGGCGGAGAAAGTGCCTTGGGCATCTCCGTTCCAGCAAGAACTTTGTAGGAACCTGTTTGCACGGGCTGTCGATCCGATATCCGGACACACTGTCTTAAACACAGGGCCCTACCTTTCATCCTCGACCTCCTCTCCGCAGAGTAAGGGCTTATTAGCAAGACCATGAATCGGAAAGAGTGGTCGGGGGATCAGTAGGATTCCTAACACACAGTGTCAGGGGTGGTAGGAGGAGTTAGCAGGGAGCAAACAAAACACCCGCTCGTGTCCATTGCATTACAGTTCAGACAGTCTAGCTCATTGGTTTCACTCACAATTAGACAGTGACTCTGCTCTGGCCAGTGTGTACAGAGAAACGAATCCCAGAGTCTAAACCGAATGATTTGGAGAAAAAAATAAAAATGTAATCAGAAGTCTAAGTAACCAAAACGTAAGCCACTTGATACGATTTAGGTCATGAATATAAATAACAAAGTTTGTTACTTTCTATGCAGATAATGTCTACTGCTTATATCCGTCAATGTCTTATACAGATAGAAAGGGAAAAATAAAACCATCACTGTGTTTGAAATAACAAAATCTACCTTGTCTTGATTCTGTTTCCATCTCTGAGATGGGTTGTAGGACATTTCCCAGTCTGACTTGCGTCCTCCTCTTGTCTAATCCAACTGATTAGATTCTCAGTGGGATTCTGTTTCAGTGATGAGCACCTAGTCCTGAAGTTGTTTTTCAGATCTTTGTGTGATGAGCCCCTCAGTGGCTCCCGTGGCTTTCAGGGTAAAAAGCTCAGATCCCTGGCTCGGAACACCAAGCCCGGCCCCATCTGGGTCCTGCCTCCCGGCTGCTCCAGCAGGCTCTCTACCCCTCCCTGCCCTGCTCCAGCACTGCTCTCCCCCCCACCCCCACCCCCACCCCGCCCTCCTCCGGTCTTGCTACTGAACATCCCTCACAGTGCTTTCCTGTCCTCCTCTGCCTGAGTCACGTTTCCTCGCCCCTCCCTCTCACCCAGCTCTTGGCACAGCTAGTCGTTAGGGTCTGTCCAACTTTGAAGTGAACC